TTTTTTCTCTATCATGTGTGCTCAAATTAATTTTACTCTGCTTTTTATTGTTGAACTAAACACACAAGACTTTTAAATATCTATCAGTACGAAAAATATTTTTGTTTCATGTTTGAAAATTATTTGGTATGATTTTTCTGGTGCAGTAACAATAATTTATGCTGAATTAGAATTTTGTGTTGTTCTGCCGCTAGTAAACGAATTGGCGTAAAATAAGAGACTAATCTTGCAAAGAACCTTTCGTATAACAACAAGTAATTTTATAATTTAATTTATTGAAATATTTAAATTTTGTTAACATGTTTTTGTTACTATAAAGCACGTAAAGAAGGGCCCAACATGATTGCATAAGATCTCTGTATTCCTTTCTAAGGTTCTAATAGTTTTCACATGGTTCTTGTCTCTTTAAAATGTATTGTTTATGGGCGAAAAATATCAAAAATTTCTTTTGCTCCAGTTAGGGGGCCCCCAAAATCCTATTATGCTTCCCCTATTTTCAGAGGTTAATCGGGCCCTGCTAGAGGCGGGTCAACACCTCATTGAACTTGTTGCTGTAACTCTGCAATAAATTATTCAATTGTTCTGAAATTTTGATCATTTACTATTCTGTACGTTGTCTTCCTATACACCATTTTTCGTTTCAATCGGACAACTCCTTCTTGGCACATCGATTTTTTTGTTATAGAGTGTATTTATGTGCTTCTGAATTATCCTAATTAAAGGTGGTGTTAATTAAAGGTTTCATTTAAGCTCAAGGTAATTTCATATATATTTCAAAATTTATTACTGATATTTAAAACTTTAAAAGTATTCTAATTAGCATATTTTCATCATTATGATTTCAATTATTACAGACTTATTTTAAAATGGAAAAATTTTATGCTTGTTAATAAACTTCTTTGCATTATTGGTTGAATATTTGTATACCCAAATTACTGAAGTAGAGTGGCTTAGCAAAAATACATTAAAACCTTCTGAGCTTACAATTTTCCTTTAAATTTAAATTTTACTGATTAGCTTTAGTATTGCCAAATGATAAAAGCTTTAAAATTTAAAAAAAAAAAAAAAAAAAAAAAAAAAAAAANTTTAAAAAAAAAAAAAAAAAAAAAAAAAAACGTCATCAGCATGTACTTACAATTAGTGAAATTTTTCTAATATGAAATTGCAATAAAAAAAAAATAGGAAAATGGATGATTTCATGCGCAGTAAGAGTCCCCAGTTACCGTGTGCAATCTAAGGGGCACCCTATAAAAAAATTTTTTTTAGCCCTATTCTGAGTTCGATAAGTTTTTTTTTTATTAGTGTTCAGAAATTAGGTAGCTCACAACTTTGTTTGTAGCCTTCAATTTTTTATTTCAAGTTTAATTTTCTGTAATATTTTATTAAATACAATTTTAAAAAAATGTGTGAATATTTTTAGGATCTCACATATTATAGACCTTTATAGTTTGTTTTTCTTCAAAATTTGCATTCTGTTCAAACTTTTACGATTTTTTTTAATTTTTTAAATTAAAAAAAATCAACCCATTTACATTTAATCCTTTGATTTTCTTTTAAAATATCTGTTTAATTTTTAAAGTAAAAAAAAGTATTTATATAGATAGTTTTCAAAAAGGATTTCATAATACAATGTAAATCTTGGATTACCCAATTATGATACTATCACAAGCGCTTCACATACTTTTTCAATTTCTATCAAATCCAAATTTTCTCGGCCATTAAAGCAGAATATCTATTTTGTGATTGGTCGCAGAATAGTTAAATAGTAGAGGCCAACTACATAATGTCAACTAAATCATTTATGCCTCATTTCTCCATAAAAAGTTTTAGTGAGTTACAGATATGAAAAAGGAAGATTAACAATACAGTAAGCCAAAGAATCTCACTCTTTTAAAAATCTCTGTAAATAGATAAGTAGATATTATGTAAATACCACCCAAAGTTTAGATGGTTGGTTTGAAAGGTTTCGATTGAATTCAACGTGAGGTCATGTAGATATTGCACAATGAAAATTACGAAAAAAATTGTTTAACTTCTTTTTGTTCTAAAACATTACGTTAGCATGAAAAAAATGTTTTTTTTTTATTTTTTATTTTTTTTTTATTTTATCAGATATTAATTTATGTCATCCAAACTATCAAACAAGCATACCGTGGTAATCCCTATCAACAAGCATACCGTGGTAATCCCTATCAACAAGCATACCGTGGTAATACCGTGGTAATCCCTATCAATTGAGTTGCTATTGTAACTTATAATTTTTTTGTTACAGTTGTTGATTCGAGCTCAAAAATAATAGATGGTATGCTTAGTGGAACAGTAAATTCTTTTGGAAATTACGAACAATGCTTGAACTCAGAAGTGCCCTCAAAGGATCCTGCGAAACCCAGGTTTCGTGGGCAATATTGCCAAGTAGCTATCACACCGCCCCTTCCTGCTAAATCTAAACGTTACAAATACGATGAAGAAATAGAAGAGCTGGAAAATTTTAAGGGCACGGTAAGTTTCTTTTCTTTTTAAAAAAACTTTAAATTTTTGCTCTTATGTACGAAGTAGGAAGCCTATAAACAATTCAAAAAATAGAAAAATAAGAGAAAAAATATCCTTTTCCATCTTGAACATGACTTTCTTATTTATGATTTCTACAAAATGGAAATTGAATGAACAGTTTTTCGATGTAACGATGGCACGGAGGTTGATTTAAAAATAAGTTTTCCTGGGAAAACAGGATCGAAGTTTGAAGATTCACAAGTGTGTGAATGTTATTCAAACCAAATTTAGTCACTGTAATTCTTTTCGAATTTCAGAAAATCATTCTGACTGCGATGTTTTTCTAGAATTGTTAAGTTTATCAGCAGAGTGTTCCGTAAAGACTGCCCTAAATACGTAATTTCACTTTGTAGGGAACTAAAACTAATTTTTAGTCGAAGGAAAAACAGTGAGGATGGTGGGAGCAATGAAAGTTAAAATAGGTTTAATTGGAGGTTCAAACTTAAATATGTTTTAAATAATCGGCTTTTGAATCCTCTCTGTTTCCTCTTGCTTATTACTATTATTATACTAGCGTATTGTTTCATCTCCTTCTTATTCCCGCCTTCTTCCTCAGTGATTTCTGGTTTTTTTCCTTGGTTAAATATTAATTTGTGATCCACCATTGCGCATACTACTTCTTTTATATTCTTATATATAGGATTCTAATAGTACATATTTAAAATAGCCTTTACAAACTTTTTTTCTTCTTTCTCCGCAATAAAATGAGCAGTCTTGGTTTGGAAAACAATTCTTATTATATTTACGAAAAAGAAAATACTTAAAAATTCCTATTACTTTACTTTTCTATGACGTGAATTTTTAAATAAAAATAATTTTAAAATAATTTTTAGAATTCTAGAAGAAAGCAAATCAAGCAAGAATGCCGGTTGAAATTAACTGAATACCAGATGGCAGCACCACGGAAAAGGATTGCTTATTAAAGCATTTGTAGTTGGCAGCACAAAAATTAATCAAACTTTTTCTATAAAATCATAAGTTCTAGATTTTTTTCTTACTTTTAATATTCCCACCGTGTTAATATTTTCGTATTTTTATTCTATTACGTAATTTTATATATCAGGGATAACGTTCAACGTTCAGGAACGAAGTAACGTTCCTGTTCTTTATACTTTAAAAAGTTAAAATAACGCAATTAAATATTCAAATATCTTTATATATCAATTGTATTTTTATTTTACATCTAAGAAATTCTTATTTTTTTCGTATCACTTCCTTGTGATGCTAGAAATAATAAAATGTTAAATAAATATGTAAAAATGAAGAGAGTAATGTAAAAATAATAAAAAGTAATTATCTCCCTGCTGTAAAAAATCGTATGAGCTGCCGGCGCTGAATTAATAGTTCAACTTAACGTATATATAATATCAACAAAACGTACATATAACTTAATATATATATGTATATATATATATATATATATGTTACGGTGAAACATGGAAATCTGGAGAATGTCGACATTCACCGGTGAATGTCAACAATCACATAGTCGCTTTGGTGAATGTCCGAAATATTTGTTATATCCAATTTTAGATTAATTTATTCGTTAATATTATTATATTTATTTGATATATTTATATTTATTCTATATTTAAATACTTACTGACGATAGATTA